GGGCTCCTGATCCAATGTCCAGGGTGGGTGTTTAAAGGGTTAGCACCCCAACCTGGCCCTGTAGAAGTTTAGGTGGGGAGGCAGTAGGAGCATCATGACCTGCACAAAAACAGGCCACAGCCAGGTTGATTGAGGGTCCAGTGAGGTACCCGTCTCCTATAGCATTTGGCTACCTCCCACCCCTTTGACACCAGGAGCGCTATCTTGGAGCAGCTGCCTGGGATATTGCCAGAGGGGGCAGCTCCCTAGTCTGAGGAATTTTAGATGGAGTTGTCCCATGGTGCTCTGCTACAAGGGACTCTGGGGTGCCCTCATCAGCTTTGTTTGTGAAGGGTGGCAAAAGTCATCTGGATGGCTGGCTGGATCTATTCCAAACCTCCTGCTGAATTCCTTTTCCGTGGAGTCACTGTGGGCTGGAGTGCGGGCTGCAGGAGTTCGCCTTGGAGGGCAGGGCTCACTTACCTCCCGACCTTTTTCGTCATTCCTCTTGTTACAGAACAGTAGCTAGGGGGCAGTTCTAAGCTCAGAGAAGTGGTGGTGATGGGATCTTAGCAGCAGCCTTGGCTGTGAATGGAGCCTCAGTGGGAGTCAGCTGACATGGTCCTGGGCTCACATCCTCCTCTCTTGGCCCCTTCCCTCACTGGGCCTCCCAGGCCAGCTTATCTCTAAAGGCCCTTTTCACTCTGACATTTGAAGATTTTCTAAACCCATGGCCTTCTAGAGCCAGTAAGGAAAAAATCAGAAAAATGCAGGGGTGTTGAGAGGTCTGGATTAATCAAACACTGAAGTGCTTTCTATGAGCCTCGCACGGTGGGAACCGGCCAGCCAGGAGCCTGGTGCTCTCTGCAGTCATGTAGAGACAGGTGCGAACACAGCTCCACTTCTTTCTGGTCCTGTGATCTTGGGCAGCTCACTTTACCTCTCTGAGCCTTAATTTTCTCATCAACAAGTGTTCATAATAATAGTTTGTGCCATTTAGGGTTGTTTGGGAAATTAAATGAGCAAAGTGCATGTATAGATATATAGTCAGTGACCAACCAATGTTAGCTACTATTGCTGCAACTGTGTCATAAGAAGCACTGGCCAGACTGGAGATGTTTATCCTGACTCTGTCCCAAGGGGATGTGATGTATCTGTAAATCTCTGCAGAGCTGTCAGGCTGGAATGAATGAGAAAACTTTTTATCTGTGCAGCCCCAGGGAGGCAGAACCACATCAAGAAATTGGATGAGGACTGGGCGAGATGGTTCACTCTTGTAATCCCAGCACTTTGGGAGGCGGAGGCGGGGAGATCACAAGGTCAGGCAGAGACCATCCTGGCCAACCTGGTGAAACACCATCTCTACTAAAACACAGAAAAATTAGCCAGGCGTGGTGGTGAGTGCCTGTAGTCCCAGCTACTTGGGAGGCTGGGGCAGGGGAATTGCTTGAACCCAGGAGGCGGAGATTACAGTGAGCCGAGATCACGCCACTGCAATCCAGCCTTGTGACAGAGCAAGACTCCATCTCAAAAAAAAAGAAAAGAAAAGAAAAAGAAAGTGGATGAAGGCTGGACGTGGTGGCTCACGCCTGTAATCCCAGCACTTTGGGAGGCTGAGGTGAGTGGATCACTTGAGCTCATGAGTTCAAGATCAGCCTGGCCAACATAGTGAAATCCTGTCTCTACAAAAAATACAAAAATTAGTCAGGCATGGTGGTGCATGTATGTAGTCCTAGTTACTCAGGAGGCTGAGGTGGGAGGATCGCTTGATCCTGGGAGGTTGAGGCTGCAGTGAACCATGATGGCGCCACTGCACTCCAGCCTAAGCAACAGAGTAAGACCCTGTATCAGAAAAAAAAAAAAAAAAACTTATCCTCCTAAATTTGTGGATGTAAGTTAAAGTAAGTAGGAACTTTCTAGCTGAGGAATGTTAATTAGTGGAAGGCACCTCCTGGGGTAGTGAGCTCATGTCACCTGAGTATGTAAGCAGAGACTTGTACGCTCAAGGGTGTGGTTTTGAAGATGTAAGAATTGTGTGGGGATTGGACTTGGTGACAGCCACCTCTGAGATTCTGAGGTTCTGTGTTTTGGGGCAGTAAGCTCTGCATCCCTGTCACTCTGGAATCCCTTGCTATTCGATCTTCAGTGAATCTCCTGTGCTGGAAGAGTACCTGACCTTTTCCAGGGACTGGAATGGGGTGACCAACTGCCAGCTTTACCACGATAGCATGAGCCCTGTCTGTCCGCCTGGGCTTCGTGGCAGTCAGGCCTTGCATTCATGATCTCACTGTGGCCTCCCAACTCTCATGTCAGGTTAAGGAGACTGTGGCTCTGAGAGGTACAGTAACTTGCCATGGTCACATGGCTAGCAAATGGCAGAGCTTGGCTTCAGGCCAGGAGGCCTGGCTTCTAAGCAGAGCCCTCCTGTGTGGCTGGCACCCCTTTGCTTAGGCTCCCCCCAGGGGAGCAGCCTGGCTAATAGATGGCTAATAGACATCTTTAATAAGTGGGGCGATCCAGGCGGGAGAGGAGTCCTACCGGGGGCAGCAGTATCATGGGTGGGTGGGATAGAAAGAAATCCTGGGAGGATATAGAAGAAACTGACAACAGTGGTTACCTGATGTGCTCTCACTGTTTCTAATAGGTGAGGGGAAAGCCAGGTTTGATGGAGGAGGGAAGAAGGAGGTCGGAGCCAGAAAGCCTGTGGCTGCTTGGCCACAGGCCCCAGTGAAGCTGCTGTGACGCTGCTGGTCGCAGCTTCTCTGCTCTCTGTGGGCCTCCCTGTGGCTCCCGTGTGGGGGTCAGCAGGCTCTACACTGGGCTACTCTCTGGACTTCTGTTTCCCACCTATAAAACAGGGTGGTGATGACATACCTCCTCTGTAAGAGCGCTTCCAGCTCTGAGAGTCCATGAATTCAGAGCCTTGCTGGCAAGATGCCTAGAAAGACCGTCCCTGGAGACGGACTCAGCATGCCGTAGCCAGTGCTAATGAGGGCAAGGGAGAGGAGGGCAGGGTCAGATTCCTCAAGAACTAATTAGCTTCCCACAGTCGGGAGGAGAGGGCTGATGGAGAGAGGAATTTTCTCAGCCGCGGATGCTGCTTCTGACCCTGGTCTCAGGCTGATCCATCCACCTGTCTGCCAATGCATTTGTTCATGCATCATTTGTTCAACTATTATTCAACAACTATAAATTGAGCACCAACTGTGTGCCAGCTGGGCACTGGGGATAGAAAGAGAAATGGTTGCCTACAGTGATCTTATAGTTTAATAGGGGACTGATGTTAGCCTGATCTCAGGACCTCAAGTCCCAGACGGAACCCTGACTCTTGATGACCTTGTTCCTGTCCCCTGTGTCCCAAAGAGACCTTTTGGAATGAGCAGACAGCTTGAGCATGGGCTGGAGACCTGAGAGAGAACATTTCTGACTCCGGCTTTGTCACCCTTGGCTTCGCAATCTGGGGCAGTTACTTAGATATCTCTGAACCTCCGTTTCTTCTTCTGTAAAACACAGGCAAGCAATGCTTGTCTCATTTGGTCTTGTGCAGATAAAACAAAAGAATGCGATGTTCTAGTGCAGTCATTGGTGAAATTAGCTCAATTGGTTACTTTTCTAGTGTTAAAAGATGTGAATTTTAAAATGATTATTTAAGTAAAAGTGGGAAGAAATCCTGGGAGGATACAGAAGAAACTGACAACAGTGATTACCTGATTGTGATGTGGAGTCATCGGGGATGGGGCTACACTTTTTACTGTATACTTTTTTATGTTTTAATTTTTAGGGCCAGGTATGGTGGCTTATGCCTGTAATCTCAGCATTTTAGGAAGCCAAGACCAGAGGATCACTTAGGCCCAGGAGTTTGAGACCAGCCTGGGCAACATAGTGAGACCCCTTCTCTACAAAAAATACAAAAAAAAAAAAAATGGCTAAGAATGGTGGCGCACACCAATACTCCCAGCTACTTGGGAGGCTGAGGTGGGAGGATGGCTTGAGCCCAGGAGGTTGAGGCTGCAGTAAGCTATGATAGTACCACTGCACTCCAGCCTGGGCAACAGAGCAAGACCCTGTCTCAGAAAAGTAAAAATAAAATAAAAATGAATGAATAAATAAATTTTTAGAGCATGTTAATGCATTACCTACTCTAAAAAGGGGAAGCATTAGCGGTCCTTGATTTGGATTCCCCCTGACTGTTGCTGATATGGCATTTTACCAAACTGAGTGTGAACCCCCTTGGAGCTAAGCTCTGGATGAGGAGACAGATAATAGACAAGGCAACATAAAGATCATTTCAACTTGGTGAATGCTATGGAGAAAATAAAACAGATGGCATCGGAGAAGGAAAGGCGCCTCCAGAGAGAGGACATTCCAGCTGAGATTTGAGCAGCAAGAAGGAACCAGCAGGGACTGCTACCTAGGAAAAGATGATTCCAGGCAGAGGGAGCAGCAAGTCCAAAGGCCCTGGGGCGGGAACATCCTTGGCATTTTCATGGAAGAGAAAGCAAGCCAGGGTGGCAGGGCCTAGTGAGAGAAGAGAAGGCTGGTGGGAGTGTAGCCAGGGACACAGTGGGACTTCTAGAGTGAGGTATTCACTCTCAGCCTGGTAAATGCCTTATCAGCAACTGTCAGGGGGCATCCAAATCCAGGACCAGTTAATCCTGAGGGGATAATCAGGGCGGTGTAGAGCTGGTGGCATTTGAGTTGGGCCATGAAAGGTAGATCAGGGCTGATGATGAAGTGAGCTAATTCTAAGAAACAGTGAGTGAGTGAGGATCAAATTCCAGAGGAAGAGATCCTGTGTAGGAAGGGCTGAGGCAACCACCTCTGTACGCCTGTCTGTCTCAGCCTGGAATGCTGTCAGCCCTGAGGCTCTCGGCTCGGAAGGCTGCTGGCCCCCGATAGTCCCTCTTTGCACTCTGTCTTTGTATCTGCTTCTTAATTCCTTCAGCGCCACCTGGGTTGGGGTCTTACCCCTGTGTCACTGCACGCCTGTTTGCTAACTGGGCTTCTGTTCCTTCCCGCAGGGTTGGGCCGGAGCACTAGCCTCACGGAGAAGGATCTGAAAGAGGCCAAGGTGCGGAGCCAGCAGATCGCAGCCCAGCTGACCACCCCTCCCAGCCCCAATTCCCGCGGGGTCCAGCTCTTCAACAGGCGCCGGCAGAGGGTGAACGAGTTCACCTTGGAGAGCCACGGCCAGAGGGGACAGAAGCCCAGCCAGGAGTCCCTCAGGGTGCTCCCTGCAAGCTCCCCAGGTCATGCCCCAGGGCTCAGCCTGAGTTCCACCTCGCTGCCGGAGCCAGGCCCTCCACAGAACCCCAGTCCCCAGAGCCCCTACAGAGGGGTCCCTGGCCACAGCATGGAGGGGTACTCAGAGGAGGCCAGCTTGCTCCGGCACCTGGAGAAGGTGGCCAGTGAGGAGGAAGAGGTGCCACTGGTGGTTTATCTAAAGGAGAATGCGGCACTGCTGACGGCCAATGGGCTCCACCTGTCCCAAAACCGAGAGGCCCAGCAGTCCTCACCGGCTCCACCTCCAGCGGAGGTCCACAGCCCGGCTGCAGATGTCAACCAAAACCTTGCCTCGCCCAGTGCCACGCTCACCACAGCAGCTTCTAACAGCAGCCACAACCCGCCAGCCACCGATGTCAATCAGAACCCCCCGGCAACTGCCGTCCCACAGAGCCTGCCACTTTCTAGCAACCAACAGAATTCCTCAGAGGCCCAACTCCCATCCAATGGCACAGTGCCTGCTTCCAAACCCAGCACCCTGTGTGCTGACGGGCAACCCCAGGCACCAGCTGAGGAAGTGAGATGCAGCACGCTCCTAATTGACAAGGTGTCGACTCCAGCTCCCGCCACCAGCACCTTCTCCAGAGAAGCTACGCTCATCCCCAGCTCCAGGCCCCCAGCCTCAGATTTCATGTCCAGCTCTCTGCTCATCGACATCCAGCCCAACACCTTAGTGGTGTCAGCAGATCAAGAGATGTCTGGGCGAGCAGCTGCCACCACGCCCACCAAGGTATACAGTGAGGTCCACTTCACACTGGCCAAGCCCCCATCAGTGGTCAACAGGACAGCCAGGCCTTTTGGGATCCAGGCGCCAGGGGGCACCAGCCAGATGGAGAGGAGCCCCATGCTAGAGAGACGACATTTCGGGGAGAAGGCCCCGGCTCCCCAGCCCCCAAGTATGCCAGACAGGAGCCCCCGGCCACAGAGACACATAATGTCCTGCAGCCCCATGGTGGAAAGGAGGCTGATGGGGCAGCGAAGCCCGGCCTCAGAGAGACGCCCCTTGGGGAACTTCACTCCACCCCCTACCTACGCTGAGACCTTGTCCACAGCCCCTCTGGCTTCCTGGGTGAGGTCTCCTCCCTCTTATTCTGCTCTGTACCCCAGCTCTGACCCCAAGTCTTCTCACCTGAAGGGCCAGGCGGTTCCCGCCAGCAAGACGGGCATCCTGGAAGAGTCGATGGCCCGCCGGGGCAGCCGCAAATCCATGTTTACCTTTGTGGAGAAGCCCAAGGTGACCCCGAATCCAGACCTGCTGGATCTGGTACAGACAGCAGATGAGAAGCGGCGGCAGAGGGACCAAGGGGAGGTGGGCGTGGAGGAGGAGCCCTTTGCCCTGGGGGCTGAGGCCTCCAACTTCCAGCAGGAGCCAGCACCTCGAGACAGAGCCAGCCCTGCGGTGGCGGAGGAGGCACTACCAGAGTGGGCCTCCTGCCTCAAGTCACCCCGCATCCAGGCCAAGCCGAAGCCCAAACCCAACCAGAACCTCTCCGAGGCCTCTGGGAAGGGGGCTGAGCTCTACGCACGCCGCCAGTCACGGATGGAGAAATATGTCATCGAGTCTTCAAGCCACACCCCGGAGCTGGCCCGCTGCCCGTCACCCACCATGTCCCTGCCTTCCTCCTGGAAATACCCCACTAACGCCCCCGGGGCCTTCCGAGTGGCATCCCGAAGCCCAGCCCGGACCCCACCTGCCTCCCTCTACCATGGCTATCTACCTGAGAACGGGGTCCTGCGCCCGGAGCCCACCAAGCAGCCGCCGTACCAGCTGCGGCCCTCGCTCTTTGTCCTCTCACCTATCAAGGAGCCTGCCAAGGTCTCCCCAAGAGCTGCCTCGCCCGTCAAGCCCACCTCCTTGGACCTGGTGCCCAACCTGCCCAAGGGGTGTCTTCCTCCGTCTCCTGCACTGCCTCGGGCCTCCCGCTCCTCGCCGGGCCTCTACACCTCCCCCGGCCAGGACAGCCTGCAGCCCACTGCCGTGAGCCCTCCCTACGGCGGTGACATCTCCCCTGTGTCTCCCTCCAGGGCGTGGTCTCCCCGAGCCAAGCAGGCCCCCAGGCCCTCCTTCTCCACCCGGAACGCCGGGATAGAGGCTCAGGTGTGGAAGCCTTCCTTCTGCTTCAAGTAACGGACCCCATGGGGGTTCCACTGCCGATCAAGTCCCCTCCTTGAGGGCCAGATGGAGAGCAGATGTGGCAGGAAATGGCACAGAGCTGAGTGAGGAGAATGGGGAGTCCATGGTTCAAGGTCAGATGCGGCCACCAGCTGGCTTTGTGACCTTGGGCGAGTCGCCTCCCCTCTCTGAGCTGCAGCTGCCCTCCCCTACTACAGTTGGGGTCAGACTCCATGTCTGAGTGGCGAGGAGGGTCATGGAGAGAGAACTGTCGTGGCAGCCCTGATGCGGCAGAGGGGCGTCCTCTGGCCCTTGTGAGCTGTAGGGATGCAGTCTGATGCCAGCGTCTTGCTGGGGGAGTGGCCTAGAAGGGGATCCTAACGGGGACTTCTGGAGCAGACAGAGCCTGCCGGTGCCTGTGGAGTCAGCCAGCCAAGGGTCTGCCTCCTCAGCTGCCCAGGAGGCCTCCCTCATGAGGCCCAAGCTCCTGGCATCTTCCTTCCTGTCGCTGGATTCTCACCTCCACGGGCCTGTCTCTTCCACCTCTGCCTTCTGGACACCGTTTCCTCTCCACTGCTTCAGAGAGCTTTGCCTCACCTCCGCCTGCGCTCCTCTCCGGGGTCCTTCTGCTGACTGCGGACTCAGCCCACCGCTGCTGTCTGACGCTTTTCTTCCCGCCCTCTCTGAGACCTGGCTCTGTTTTAGGGAGACCAGTGGACCCAGGCCTCAGCCCCAGTTCTACCTTTGCTCTCACTGCTTTAGGGGTGGAGGATGTCCCAGAGGATCCCCAAGAGAAGGAGAGCTCTGTAGGAGGCTGTGCAGATGTGGGTGTGCCACAGGGAGGGTGGCCCCTAGCCATGTATCCATTGGCTGTTTTGGCTTCAAATTCAACCAAGATCTGCCTGACTAAAAGAAGCCACCTCAGTGCAGTGGAACGGGGCCCAGAGGGAGGCAGAAGAGAAGAGCAGCAGTCCCATATCAGCCTCCCATTTGCTGTGTGAGTTTGGCCCACTCACATTCTCCCTGGGCCTCAGTTTTATTTATACAAGGAGGGCCCTTCTAGCTCTGACAGTCTGTGTGGAGTGAGAACATAGGCTGGTGCTTTGGAGAAAGGCTTGTAAGTGACAAGACAGTCCCCTGGGAAGAAAGAGAAAGGAAATGGGCTGTTGTCATAGGACAGGTAGAGTTAGATGGCTGTGAGGGCGACCTGGTGAGGGAATGGTTGGAATGAGCCCCTGCAGGAAGCCGAGGATGAGAAGCCTGGGCTGGGCTGGGCTGGCTCGGGCTCAGGATTGCCTGAGGACAGTGAGAGCATGGCAGGAGCCTGGGCAGGTGCATAGCAGTGCAGGGGGAGGGGACAGAGGAGATCGTAGAGTTTCGAGGAAAATCTGGGATCTGGATTCTAACAGACCAACTGCATGTGTGTCTTTAAGTCTCAGTTTCCCCATTGCTACAGTGAAGGTGTTGAGTCAGGTAGCTGGAGACTCCCCGCCACCTCTGACACTTTTAGAGGTGATATGATACAGCCCCCCACCAAACCAGGCTTTGTGGGGGGTGAGAGGATACAGACTCAAGTGGCAGGATTCAGATGGAAGCTTCGCAAGGCTGGGGGCCGAGGACCACCCACTTCTCTTTCTCGGCCCTATTTCTGGGCTCCCCAGTGGGGCAAGGGGTGGTGGAGGCGGTGCCCATGCTGGGCTGAGCCTGCAGTTTTTGTGAGCTCTGGGCTTGTCTCCATGGGAACAAGGGTGCCTTCTTAGTGAGCTCATTTCACATAGATCGAGGGGGTATGTGTGGGGGAGTTGTGAGTGAGCTCAGCTCCTTCAGGCCTGGGCTCTCCCAGAACAGAGTGAAGCCCCTGCCCTGGACCCCTGCTCCCTTCCACCCTTGAGGGCCAGCAATGGAAGAGCCCACCCTTCCTTCTGCAGCTCCTGCGGCCAGGCTGAGCTCTGCCCCCAACTTCGTTTTCTCTCCTGTTCTCAATACACTCTGCCTCAAATCCGTCTTGCTTCTTTCTTTCTTCCATGCTGCTAGGGGTCAGGGCTGCCTTCCTCCTCCCTGAGTCCAGCCTGGGAAGTGGAGTGGGCCTGCTCAGTTACTGAGTGTGAAAGTGTGGCTGTGTCCTGCGTGCTGCCTGCATCTGCCGTGTGTCTGGTTCGGCACGGGGACAGACGTATGCTGGCTTGGAAGCAAGGGCTTCCTCTCCACAGCACTCAGGGAGCCAGAACCCTGTGCAAATCGCAGCCTTTTGTGCTTTCCTTCCCTCAGAGTTTGGCCAAAAATACTGTAGAGGATTTTGGGAAGAAATGCACTACCTCTTCTGGTTCAGGTTTGTTTGGGATCTTTACAAAGTGGAATAGAAATACCCCTAGCGGCATTCGCTCTCCAGTTCTCTCAGGTCCCCTCCTTGCTCCCGATTATCTAAATCTGGCCATTTCTCACATTGGCCATCATTTTCACTGTCTGGCTCCTGAAAGCATGGAGCTTCTGGTGGAGAGGAAATAACTGGCATCAAGGGTCAGGAGAGCTGGGTTCTAGCCCCAGGTTTGAATCTGATTCCTGTGTGACCTCAGACAACCTCTTCCAATCTCTGGGCCTCAGTTTCCCCTTCTGTGCAGTGAAAGGATTGCAGAAGGTGGTGTGGGAACTCTGTTTGGTTTCTGACAGTCCAGGGTTGACTGTGTTCTATTCATGCCTTCACCCCACACACGTGCCCTGCTTTGGGTCTGGGGCTAGGTTGAGTGGCTGCTACTTTTTGAATTTTCACCCCCTGCGTTCCCAGAGAGCTCTGGTGTGCAGGGTGCATTGAGCTCTCTGTCAGAAAGTGAATAGTTCTGAGTTCCTGAAGCCTTTTCATATTGTGCACACCCCCCATTCCAAACGTACATACAGAGTCAGTGCCTAGGCATGGCTGTTAGGATGAGGTCAGGCTCTGGCCCATCTCCAGATGATGAGGAGCTGCTTACCACTGCCCTCAACATTCAATACCTGTTTGAGCCATTCTGTTTTATAGTCTTGGCTGAATTATTATTCCTACCACTTGTTGGCCCCAGCATTCCCCCTGTGGCCACCAAAGGCAGAAACAATGCTTTAGAGATTTTTAGGTAGCTATCATGGCTCTCCTGTGCAGCCTACTCTCCTGGCTGAAGACCCCAATTTCCTCTGCGTCAGTGGTTGTTGACTGGCTTGGATCATGAACTCTAGGCCCCACCTCCCTACTTAGGGTGGCACTGTGGTCAGGTGCTGGGTTATGCCAGAGCCCACCCTGATTTGGCATTTGGCTCTGGTCCTTCTCATCTGGCCGTGGAGCCGGGACCTCCCTCCCAGCTCCTCTCCCTAAATTATGGGGTCTGCCTTCCCGGGCCAGCCTGACTGGGATGTGCCACAGACACAGAGAAGCTCCCAGTGTCTCTGGCTCTTGTATACACAATTCTGACTCCAATTCTGACCCTGGGAGGAAAAGAGTGGGATTCCAGGCTGAGCCTTAACTTTCCACTTGATGACTGGGAACTTGGATGTCCCTAGGGAGTTTCTAAGGGTCACTCCGGCATTAGCATCCCATGAAAAATGTCCCATTCAGGCTGTTGTATAACAGTCCTCTTTAGGTTAAAGGGTGCCAGTTCTGAGTCTGGGCTTATCTAGCAGCTGCTACATTCTGTTTGGATAAAGCACACAATTGGTGTCTGTTTCCTTCAGATTGGGAGGAATTAGAAGACTCTCAGTTGGATGAGAGGATGACTGGCTTGGTTATGGCTGATCACTGATTGGATGAAAGAATGCATCTTTGGATGGTACTAGATTTTGATTGGGTAGGAAGCACGGAATGGACTGGCTTGCTCTGAACTGTGCTGGATGACTCCTAGTGGATTGGATTGAATAGCAAGGCGGACTGGTTATTGCTGGAATCTGATTGGGTGAACAGTTGGAAGAAGGTTCAGGAGATACATGTTAGGCAGGGATTCCCAGGCCTTCCACTTTCAAACCAGTTCAAACTGCTTACTCATGTAGCCTTTGAGCAGCGTGCATGTGCGCGCAAACATACACACACAGACACACACACACACATACACACACACACAAACACACACCGTTCCTGGTGGGGCAGGACACACTAGATTGTTATTTACACCCCGAGCTTCATTTTCATCATTTGTTAAATGGGTGTGGTAATGCCAGCTACCTCACTAATCTGTTGCGAAAACCTAATGAGATGAAGGATGGGAAGGATATTTGTAGACTGAAAAGTCCTTAAGTAGATAAGAAACAGATACAGCCGTGCATCTCAGAGCAGTGCTTCATAGCCTCAAAGCTGTTCACCATCTTGGCCTCTCTAAAACCACACTCCCCTCCCTATGCTGTGAGACAGCTCAGTGAGGGGCACGTGCTGCCTAGGGAGGAATGACCCAACTTCCTTTTGTATTTCCATCTGTCAGGGGGGTCTTCCTCCCTGCTCAGGCAGCCAAGGAAAGAGGAGATGACATGGCAACATGGCAAGGGGTTTGGGGCTGAGAGGTCTTTCCATAAGTCCAACTTTAATAATAATCGTCAATATTTTTACATTTTAATTTTGAATAGATAATACATCCATATGGTTCAGAAATCTAAATTTATATGAAGTAACATATTAAAACGCCTTAGTCCCATCTCCCTGCTCCAGCCTACTCTCCTGGCTGAGGAGCCGGCTTCCCCTGCCTCAGTGGTTGTTGTTGACTGGCTTGGGTCATGAGCTCTAGCCCCTACTGTCCTGATCAGGGTGGCACTGTGGTCAGATGGGAGGGAGGACATCCAGAGCCCACCCTGACTTGGCATTTGGCCCTGAGACGCTAGCCTCAGCCTCTATCTAGTTCTTCCCATGCGGCCCTTGGTCCAGGACCTCCCTCCCAGCTCCTCTCCCTAAGTCATGGGGAAACTGAAGCCTTCCTCAGCTAGCCTGACTGAAAGCTTCCCAGGATGTGCCACAGACAAAGCAGCTCCCAGTGCCTCAGGCTGCACTCACCCTGTTCCTATTCTCACCCCTTTTCCTAACAGGTGACCACTTTGGTTACTCTCATGTGTATCCTTCTAGTCCTTTCTTTTCTTTCTTTCTTGCTTGCTTTCTTTGACGGAGTCTTGCTGTTGCGCAGGCTGGAGTGCAGTGGCACAATCTCAGCTCACTGCAACCTCTGCCTCTCATGTTTGAGCCATCCTCCTGCCTCAGCCTCCACCCCTCTCCAGTAGCTGAGATTACAGGCATGCACCACCATGCCCAGCTAATATTTGTATTTGTAGTAGAGACGGGGTTTTGCCATGTTGGCCAGGCTGGTCTCAAACTCCTGACCTCAGGTGATCCACCCACCTCGGCCTCCCAAAGTGCTGGGATTACAGGCGTGAGCCACCGCAACCAGTCCTTCTAGTATCTTTTTTTTTTTTTGAGACGGAGTTTCGCTCTTGTTACCCAGGCTGGAGTGCAGTGGGGCGGTCTCGGCTCACCGCAACCTCCGCCTCCCGGGTTCAGGCAATTCTCCTGCCTCAGCCTCCTGAGTAGCTGCGATTACAGGCACGTGCCACCATGCCCAGCTAATTTTTTGTATTTTTAGTAGAGACGGGGTTTCACCATGTTGACCAGGATGGTCTCGATCTCTTGACCTCGTGATCCACCCGCCTCGGCCTCCCAAAGTGCTGGGATTACAGGCTTGAGCCACCGCGCCCGGCCATCTAGTATTTATGGTAATCAACATCTATTGAGTACTTAGGAATGTGCCGATATATGTAATGTTCTTTTCCATCAGTTATCTCATTTAACCCTCGCAACAAGACTATAAGGTAAGTACTGTTATCACACCCCATTTACAGAAGCAGAAACTGAAGCCCAGAGGGGTGAAATAACTTGTCCAAGCTCAGTCAGTAAGTTAAGGCGCTTGTCTCCAAAGCGAGCCTTCTTAACACGGGGGCAGACACAAGACAGCGGGGACTCATCAAGAGTTCTGGGCTGAGGGTTTGGGCACCTGCGTTTTACTGCAGGCACTGCCTGACTTTGGTCGGTGGCTTCCCTTCTCGGTGTAATGGACAAATCGGACTCGGTCCCTTCCTAAAGCCCGACGTGGAGGACCCCAGCACTAATGCCTGCCCCGCCCCCTCTGCTCTCTCCCCAGGACCGCCGGGAGAGCCTGCCCACCTCCCCTCCCTGGACGCCGGGCGCGTCCCGGCCCCCCAGCAGCCTGGACGGCTGGGTGAGCCCGGGGCCGTGGGAGCCAGGCCGCGGCAGCAGCATGAGCAGCCCCCCGCCGCTGCCACCGCCCATGTCTCCCTCGTGGAGTGAGCGCTCGGTGTCCCCGCTGCGACCCGAGACCGAGGCGCGGCCCCCCAGCCGCCAGCTGCAGGCGCTTCTGGCGCGAAACATCATCAACGCGGCCCGGCGCAAGAGCGCCTCCCCGCGGCCGGCGGGAGCCGAGAGCCTGCGGCCCTTCTCCCCGCCGAGGGCGCCGCCGCCGCCGCCGCCGCCGCCGCCGCCGCCGCCGCGCATGCGCTCGCCGCAGCCCGCTCGCCCCGGCCAGGCCACTGTGCCGGGGGCAGCGTTCGCGCCCATCCTGCGGAGCCCGCTGCCCCCCGGGCCTTCCTCCTGCACCAGTCCCCGGAGCCCGCTGCCCGCGCCTCCCAGGCCCTTCCTCTACCGCCGCTCGCCCACAGACTCCGACGTGTCCCTCGACTCCGAGGACTCCGGGGCTAAGTCTCCCGGCATCCTCGGCTACAATATCTGCCCCCGCGGGTGGAACGGCAGCCTGCGGCTCAAGCGTGGCAGCCTCCCCGCCGAGGCCTCCTGCACCACCTAGAACCCCACCCCCCGACCCCACCCCAGGAGGGCAGAGCCAGAAGAAGGCTCATCAGACCTGGGGAATCCAAATGGTCTGGCCTCTGGGCAGCCCCAGAGATGAGGGATCAGCAGAGGAGAGCTCTGGGCTTGGGGATGGGTTGGGGACGCAAGCTTGAGTTCTAGCACCTGCTCTCATTCACTCGTTGTGTGACCCCGGGTAAGACCCTTCCTGGTTTGACCTTCAGCTGTCCCATGTGTTTAATGGTGGCTTTGGCCAAGGCAGTCCACAAATGTCAAAATTCCCCTTCCCATCAATACACACGCACGCGCACACGCACACTCTCTTACACACTAGTTAGTGCCTTGAATGAGGCAGGGCAGTGTGTATATTGACCCCTGGACTTGCCACCTTCAGAGTTCCATACTCCTCCTTCCCCTTCTGGCTCTGCTCTCTGGAGTCTGGCAAGTGGGGTGTGTTCAGAAGATCCTAGGCCTGTGTCCCATGTCCAGGCACTGGCCTGACCATCCGGCTCCCTGGCACCAAGTCCCAGGCGGGAGCAGCTGTTTTCCATCCCTTCCCAGACAAGCTCTATTTTTATCACAATGACCTTTAGAGAGGTCTCCCAGGCCAGCTCAAGGTGTCCCACTGTCCCCTCTGGAGAGAAGAGGCAGGAAAATTCTCTCCGGGTCCCTGTCACGCTACTTTCTTCACTTCAGTTCAGCCTGCCCAGGACATCTTATCTGCAGCCATATGAGAACTCTAAGGCAGTGATTTTCCTTAGGCCCAGGACTTAGGCCTACAGCTCATCTGTTCCTTCTGAGCCCATTCACGGCAGATTCTGGGCTCAAAGCTGAGCTGGGGAGAGAAGAGATACAGAGCTACCACGTCGCTTTACCTGACTGCCCTCAGTTTGGGGTTGCTTATTTGGAAAGAGAGAGATATAGAGTTACTTGTTATGGGAAATATGAAAGTCATGGCCAGGATGCATAGCAGGAGATTCTAGCAGGGGACGAGATTGGCTCAGATGACCTCTGAGGGCTCTTCCAGTCTTGAAATGCATTCCATGGTATTAGGAAGTCAGGGGTATTAGGATGTGGTGGTGGGCTAGGTGGGCTTGAATTCAGGGGCCAATGAGCTTGGATAGGTGAAAGGGATGTTAGGTTAGGGTCTGCCTGTTATTTCTGTCCCCTTGGGAAATGTCCCCTTCTTCAGTGTCAGACCTCAACTCCAGTGTCCAGAAAAGTAGCCACTGTCCTGCCCCATCCCTTCCCCAGTGCACTCTGATCTAGCTATTGCCTAGTGCCCAGTGACCTTGGGGAGCCTGGCTGCAGGCCCTCACTAGTTCCTTAAACCTTGGTGGCTCTGATTCCAGTCCCCAGGAGGGAGTCAGGGAGGAATATGGCTGAGTTCTGTAGTTTCCAGAGTTGGCTGGTAGAGCCTTCTAGAGGTTCAGAATATTAGCTTCAGGATCAACTGTGGGGCAGGAATTGGCTGAGGATCAAAAGCATGTAGGTGAAAGGATACTAGGATGTTGCGTAAGGTGTGGGACAGTGTGGTTTTGGGACTTACCCACCCACCAGGGTGATGTTAGATCTAGAACCCCCAAGTGAGGCTGGAGAGAGTTAGGGTCAATATGGAAGATCGGGTGGGGATGGGGTGCTTTAGAATAAAGGAGAGATCTTAGAGGGCTCCTTGGGCCTCAGGAATGAGGACACCGCTCCCGCTGGTGTGAAGATGAGAAGGTGCTCTTACTCAGTTAATGATGAGTGACTATATTTCCCTAAGCCCCCACCTGCTGCAGGGTCCCTCGCAGCACAGGAGACTGGGACTAAGAGCCCCTCCCAGAGAAGTGACACCATCAGGCCTCTGGCTGAGGCAGCAGCATAGAGGATCCACCTCTACCTGTGTTTCCCAAAGGGCTGGCAGGAGGCAGCCCCTGGCTGTTCCCCCGTTGTCACCGCTTTCTCCCCATCCTCTCCTCTAACCCGCTAGAGCTTGCCTATGTCCTGCCTCTTGTAGAATTCAGCTCTGGCCCTCAATAAATGCTTCCTGCATTCTTCTGCCTCCTGTGTCATTTTCAGTTGTGTTTGATGCCCTTCTCCCCAAGTCCATGGGACTCTGGGTGGCAGGGAATATTTGAGACACATGGGATGGAAGTGTGGGAAGATCTCTCAAGCATCCATGAGAGACAGGAACAATGGACAACTTGAGGCCGTAGAAGTCCCTGGCTAGGTGACCCTGAGTGAGCCAACTCTTCCAGGCCTCAGCTTTTCCATCCATGTGATGGGGAGAGTTGGTCTAGATAATGTCTCAGGGTGGTATTGTCAGGGCCCTGACTACAGAGTACTGTTACCAGAATGGGCAGGGCCAAGCTGGGTCAGGGGTCTGTGCTCTGGGGCTGTTTCCTCAAGGCAGGCAGGGGTGCCAGGGCAGGAAAGGAGTCACTGTGAGAGGTCTTGTCTGAGCCAGGCAACTCCAGTGAGGCGAGGACTCAGACCAGGCAACCCCAGGAGGTGAGGACATCAGGCATCCTCTCCTGATGTGGCGTCCTTTGGCCAGAGAAGGGGATTGTGGTCCTGCTCCCAGGTGAAGCTTAGCTTGCCCTGGGAATACACCTCACTCTTTCTCTCTAGAAGCTTGGGCCCACTGAGGGCCAGGAAGCTAAGCTCAGGGCAGTGGACACCAGAATCCAGGTTTCTGTCCTGAGAAGGTGTCAGAAATCCACGCCAGCCACAGCCTGCCAGCACACACACAGTGCTCCCCAGCCTGCACCCAGCCATCCTCGATAGGCCCACCCTTCCCCAGTAGTGGTGTGTGTGCCCTGGTCCCAATCTTTATCTTCGGCTGGGGCCTGGCCACAGCACAGTGTCCCACTGCCTACTGGTGATCTCATCCCAGTACCCCAGAACCTCAAGCCAAGTTCATCCCAAACTGACCTCGGTGTCTGCCCCCACTCCACCTACTCCTCCCTCTTCAGTCACCCAAGCATGAAACAGGGGAGTGGGACTCCCTTTCCTCACCTCCCATGTCCAGTTCCTCACCAAGACCCCGGGGTTCTTCAAAATACCCGTTAACTCCCTCTCCTCTCCGTCCCCTTGTCACTGCCCTGATCCAGCCACCGAATCTCTCACCTGGTGACAGTTGGTCCTCCTGCCTCCAGTCTGGCCCCCTCCAACCCATTTCCACATGGCAGCAAAGATGTCTTTGGAAAATGTCAATCCGATCACTCAGTTTCACTAGTTTAATCTCATCAGCAACCAACCCATTTCCACATGGCAGCAAAGATGTCTTTGGAAAATGTCAATCCGATCACTCAATTTCACTAGTTTAATCTCATCAGCAACCCTTTATCAACACAGTTTCCTTTAGAAAGCCTGCTAGGATCTGGCCCCTACCCCCACTGTCTGAGCTGATCTCTTAGAACTGCCTCCAGCTCTGGCTCTACTTGCCAACCCCCTACCATCTTCATAGGTGACATGTCCACTGCCTGCCATGCCCCTTCTCTGCCCAGTGAACTCCCACTCCTCCTTCAAGGCTCAACTCCAGTATGTCCTCCTCTGGGAAGCCTTCTCACCCCCCACCCCAGGCTGAGCTGGTAACTCCCTCCCCTGGGCTCTCCCAGAGCCTTTCCCAAAGCTTGTTTACCCGTCTGAATCTGACCTGGCTGAGCTCCTTGAAGACAGAGCCCTGCCTTATTTATTTTCAGTCCTTAAAGAGAGGCTCAGGAAATGTGAGAAGGTAGAGGGAGGGAGGGAAAGAGAGAAGGAGGAAGGGAGAAAAGAGGCAGGCAGGAAGGAGACAGAAGAAGAAAGGCAGGAGAGAAGAAAGGAAGGAAGAAAAGAATAAGTCAAACAAAGATATTGGGGAACAATTCATCCATCCATCCATCGATTCATTCATTTGACAAATATCTACTGAGCTCTATCAGGCACTAAGGATATAACAGTTAACAAGAGGAAGCTACCAGCAGCTGACCCTCAGCATTTCCAGGTGACTTTGGTGTGTGCATATGTGAGCGTGCATGTACATGTGGGTGCAAGCCCTCTGTCTGCAAAGGCCTGTTGCCAGGGCACCTGTCTTCCCTGGGGTCTGATGTTTTTAGCATCTGACCTGCTCCTATTGCAGCCCGAAATAAGGCAGTGACCCACGGCAAGGCAGGAATGATTCTCAGCAGCTAAAGCCAGAGCTGGCTACGGGGCACACCCTGCTCGCTGACTACTGACTGCTGACCGCTGACTGCCTACAGGGACACCACACAACTCTCAGCTTCCCAACAGAGGTGTTAATCTTGAGGGTCTAAGATTCCCTCCTGCCCACTGTGGTCCCATCCTTTCAGGTACCAGCATCCTAGGGGAGCTTGGGGAACTCGGGGTAGTGGGCAGAGGAGATGTGGCAATCCCTAGAGGTCCATCACCAGGAGAGGAAGGGCCCTGCAGTGGATCTGGTGACCGTGGGGCCCCCTGGAAGCCTAGATCCTGGTTTAGAAGGAGAGGAGCTCTAAGCTCTAGTTAACTCTGCATTAAATGGGGAGGATGCAGCTAGGATTAAAGGTGGGGAATAGATAACAGCTTTGCTCAAGACTTTGGGATTTTTAGGCAGTAGAGGGAAGCAGCTTCTCTGTCTGTAAAATGAGAGACTCTTCCCAGTGTCCGTGAACTTCTATAAAGGGAGTGTTTATCAAGAAACAGATCTGTGGACTGTGGAATCCTAAACAGTCATGATCGGGGCATTCTCAATCATCCCATAACCCTCGCTCCAAATGCATGTAGACACACTCATGTTTGCATGCTGTTTTAGCAGGCTTATGAATGCCCTAAAGCCTATCCATGGATCTCCATGATTTAGCCCAGCTCCCTCATGTTACAGACCGGGGAACTGAGGTGCAGAGCTGGAGAGCTACTTGTTCACAGTTACAGAGGAAGTCAGGGACACCCACTAGACTCCAGTTGCACAGCACAGTGCCCTCTGGCCCAGGGCCCCGTGTGGGTGTTGAGGGTACAGGTGAAGGCAGATTGTTTTCTAAAGGAAGGAGTATAGAAAAACCTGGAGGCAAAGGAGAAGGGTACCAGGGTACGTGGTCAGCCAAGGAGGTCAAAGGCTCTGCCTCTTCTCCAGAGGGCAAGTTAAGGAACCTGGGCAGGTTAAGGGCTCTGGACCTCATTTTGTTTGTAAATCTCTTCCAAGATTTCTGGAAAGTGCCATGAGATTCAAATGGGAGGATGGAGGAGGAGGAGGAAGAGAAGGGATGAGGGAGAAGAGAACACCATGGAAGTTAGCCCAGTAATGGGGAGATGGGGAGGATGGGGAATGGTTCTCTCTGCTTGGTTGGACCAGACTGCTGACTGCCTACAGGGACATCATGCAACTCTCAGCTTCCCAACAAGTGCCAGGGATGAGAGGGGCAACCAGCCTTGCAGACCCCAGTGTAACCCCAGCCTAGCCCATGCTCCCCCTCCACTAACTTAAGCCACCAACCTCTTTCAGCCTTGAAATAGGGCTCTCAAGTCTCAACATATGATAGTGTGCCTGAGACCCTTGCCTGCCCCACCCAGATGCCCCAGGCACCTACACTCCCTCTGATCAGGATGCCAGAGCTGGGAAAAGGCCCTAGAAGAGACAGTGCTTCCTTAGCAACATGAAAATAGATTTGTGCAAACTTGGGCACCTCCCTCTTCCTCCCGTGGGCCTCAGTCTCCTCTGCACAATGACCTTGAGGGCGCTTCCAGTTCAGACATCCCTTGCTTGTGATTTTAGGGTGGGTTGAAGCTGTTCAAGACTGGGGCAGGGTGAGCCAGGGACTTGAAGGAGGTCTGGGGAGAAATGGAGGCAGCCTGGTCCATTGATGGGGTCTCTCCTCCACAGGATGATCCCCAAGGAGCAGAAGGGGCCAGTGATGGCTGCCATGGGGGACCTCACTGAACCAGGTAAGGTGGGTCTAGCCTCATGCTTTCCTCAGGCTCCATCTTTTCCTCGCTCCCAGGCTGCACTCACTCTGGCTTGCTGGCCCCAGGCCTGGGCAGACAGGTGTGAGCTCCAGACCAGCCTGAAGGAGTGCCTGTGGAACCTGTCGCCTAGGCTGGGAAGCTTTGTGAGGTACCAGGAGGGGTCTTGTCCCTCTGTCCACAGACCCAGGAGCTGAGGCTAAAATGACCCTGGTTTCATCTAAGGCCCCATCTCAGCCCCAAATTAAGCTCTGGAGATTCCGGTCCCAGTTTCAGCCCTACCTGTGGCTGCAAGCTCTGCACACACTTGCCCTTGCCTATTGCTCCTGTGGGTCTCACTGAGGCCTCTGGATGGCCCAGGACAGCTGGGCCCCATGGCCAACAGGGGAGCGGAGAGAGTAGAGCAGGGTGGGAAGAGCAGGCCGCCCATTTGGATACAAAACTTTTTACTTAAAAGATAACTCATCAAATGAACAAATCATTTTTATCATTTCATTTAAAAAGTTTAAATTCATTTTTATCAATTTTATAAGACCTATTCCGGAACTCTTGATATAACTTTGGAATCTGTTTATTTGGTCCACTTTACAGCATTTCAGGTATTTAATGTATTTATTTATTTTATTATTATTATTTTTTGAGACAGTCTCACTCTGTTACCCAAGCTAGAGTGCAATGGCGGTCTCGGCTCACTGCAACCTCCCCTTCCTGGGTTCAAGCGATTCTCCTGCCTCAGCCTCCCAAGTAGCTGGGACTATGGGCGTGTGCCACCACACTCAGCTAATTTTTGTATTTTTAGTAGCAACGGGATTTCACTGTGTTGGCCAGGCTGGTCTTGAACTCCTGACCTCGTGATCCACCCACTTTGGACTCCCAAAGTGCTGGATTACAGGTGTGAGCCACTGCACCTGGCCACATTTCAGGAATTTTAAAGATTAATTCAGGGGCTGGTTACAGTGGCTGACATCTGTAATCCCAGCATTTTGGGAGGCTGAGGTGGAAGGATTGCTTGAGCCCAGGAGTTTGAGACCAGCCTGGGCAACATGGTGAGACTCTATCTCTACCAAAAAAAAAAAAAAATTAGCCAGGCATTGTGGCACATGCCTGTGGTCCCAGCTA